TTCAAGTCTTAATTTCCTCATCTGTAAAATATTGGACTTCTGATTCTAGTTGTATGTCAGACTGAGCTAACTCAGACTACCCTTCTTTTTAACACAGAGAAGCTAAATATACAACCTGAGAAATGTTTAAATACTGGAATAACTTAAGATAAAGGAATGCCTGGATTCCTGAAACAGAGTAGCTCAAAGCTAGTGTGTGTAAACTGATATAACACATCCCAGGGGAATATGGAACTATGTGTAGGTTTTAATGCTCACATAGACAAAGTGGATATGGGGAAGTGATTGGGTGGGTGGATGGGTGGGTGAGTGAGCGAGTGAGTGAGTTGGTCTGTCTCTCCACTCAAGGAGACCCTTAAAAATTAAAAAAAAAAAAAAAAAGAGACATAGTGGATATGATATATACAGTGCTTAACATAGTACCTGGTAATTACTAATGGTTCAAAAAACAGTGCCTACTACTCTAATTATATCCTCTCTGGTTTTTCAAGCACATATCAAACATTTTCCAGTAATATTTTCAAAGAGAATGGGTTTGCATAGAGCATGAAACTAAGTGAGTTCTCAGATTCTTTGAGTCACTATTCCCATCTCCACCTGGTTCAGCACACGAGAGGATGCTCATGATTTCTTTCCCTCCAAAATCTCCTTTCTCAGTGTTCACATTTCAATTAGTGGTACCTGGTTACTCAGGCCAAAGACCTTGCGATTATCCTTGACTCCTCTCTTTCTCACACTCCACATCTAAGCCTGTTGTCAGAATATATCCTGACTTTGATCACCACCCTCATCACTAACACCCTAACCTAACCATCATCATCATTTCCTGTTTCTACAGTGGACCCCACCCAGGCTTTTCTCAGTCCCATCTCTCTTGCCTAAAAACTCTGTACTGGCTTCTTATCTCACAGTAAAACTCAAAAGTTCTTGCCATGGCCCACAAGGCCTGGCACAATCATGTACATAGCCCACAGAGCCTGGCACAGTCATGTACATGTATGTAGTCCCCAGGGCCTGGACCTGGCAGCTTCTCTGATCTTACCTCCTACTATTAATCCTTTTCCCCCTTGCTCTTTCCATTGCACACACCCTGGTGCTGTTCTCAGACTTGCCAAGCATGTTTGCCTCCTCAGGCCTTTGCACTGGCTAGTTTCTCTGCCTGTAATGTTTTTCTCCTAGATGTCTGTGTGGCTTTACTGTCACCTCACCCAATAAAAGGCTCAGCTATCAGAGAGGCCTTCCTCTCTAATTACAGTATATAAAGTAGCAGCTCCCCCCCCAACCTTTTGTGCCCCTCTCTCCTTACCCTATCTTATTTTTCCCCACTGGAGTGGAGGCTCCATAACAAAAGAGACTTTATTTCTTTTGTTTACTGCTGAATCCTTAGCACTAAGAACAGGATCTGGCATATAAACACTGGTTGAATAAGTAAATGAATAAATACACTGTTGAGTTTTTTACTAAGTGATTTATAAAGAAGAGTTAACATGGATTTGGGCAAAGCCTAAAATAGCTTCCATCCAGGAAGCTGTTCCATTGCTCGAAACACTTTAATAATATATGGATCCTTTATTTCCATAGTCTAGATGAGAGGTGTCTAATGTCTTTTTGTTCTTGCCTGTGCTTTCAGTGAATTAAGTCTGACAAGGCTGCCTTCGGTGTGTCTACATAGCACTATATTTTGTGCTTAGATATGTAATTCCTTTTAACCCTGGAGAACTTCGTATGTTTGGGGTACACTTTGGATGATTCCCCTTATTTGCACATTATTTCAGGTGAGATAGTAATTTTTCTTGAAATTGACTCACAGCATGGAGAACCTGCACATTTACCAGGACAGGAGAGAATGGGATTTTTCTGCCAAAAGGTGAGATATGGCATAATACAGTTTAGTTTGTGATAATTAGTTGTCCTTTGGCAGCTATACTTAATACCGAAAAATATTAAGGGAGATACAGACAATAGTTGAACCATTTATTGGGAAAGTGATAATTCATAGTGTAATTTGCCAGTTCAAAATTAAGAAAAATCATTGGCAAGTGCGTCATGAGCCTTGCATTCTGTGGCTTGCATGAGGTAGGAGTATCTCAGTCAG